TGCCAGCTCCTCATACAGAATGCAGTCTGAGGGGTTGGGAGAAGCAACCAGCTGGCACCATCTTAAACTACAACATTTAAGGCTTCTAAAGTACATCTGTCAGAGCTATTTGTGAATAAATTTCAGCATAAGAGTTTGTAGAATTGAGAACTTCATATGTAAAGTTTACAATGAAAACACAATAGATAAAAGCATAAAAAGCTACACAGGCTGATTGATAATGTAAATGTGAGAGGGAATTATCATGGGTAAACTTAACCTTTTCTTCATTTACATCACACAGCACAGCCAGGGAGAAGACAATTGAGACTTTGAAACCTACTACATTTTCAACCCAATCTGTTTCCCCAGTATAAAAAACAGTTCATGACATGAAAAGGTTATTACATTGTTTCACTACTTATTTCAGTAGAAATACATGATAATTAATTTAGCTTTCTGGCTAGAGGCAAACAACTACAGACAATGCAACCCCATTTTTGTTGTCTTACCTAAAACTAGAAGTAACAGCATTAATAAGTAACAACAAATTTGTGTAGAAAATGGTGTGCTTCAGCTTGTCCTCTGGATTTTAACTTTCCAACTATTATTCCCAGCACTAACCTACTTCCATCATTTGTTCTTTTCCCCTCTCACACTTGTCCTTTCTACTGTGACTTCTCCACCGTAAGTTTCTGCTGTCAGAACAGTCTTTCCTGATTTATTTATTTTAACACTTCAGCATCTAGCCCTGGATTTCTATTGCACCCTTCCTTTCTCATCTTCAATTCTTCTTTACAAACCCTTCTGGGTTTACATTGGCTAATTCATCAGCCTTTCCTCCCAATTCTGCCCCGTTTTTGATTGTAAAACATACTGAGTGAAGGATGATGACAAGAACAATCACAACACATGAATGAACAATATTTTGATGATGTATGTATTATATTTAAAACTGCACAATACCTCAGGACACAATAAACTATATTGTGCAAAGTTCCACTATATCACTGCAGTGTGTGTTAGGAAGGCAGAATCAAACTTAAAAAATCACTAATGATGATTTTTGCCCTGTGGCTAAAAAAACACGAAACAAAGGAGAAACAAAGGAATAAGCACTGTCCTGTCAGGAATGCCTCAAGTATTTACTCAGCTCACTGATTACAGGGGTATCTGTGCACAGCTAGTGATATAAAAGCACCTGGGATTCCATGACATTTTCCCATGACCTTCAAACATAATTCTAAAGAATAAAAATGTATCAGGAATCATAGGCTGTTGCAGATAATTCTGCACCATTAAAGCTGCATTAATGCAAGTTCTATTTAAAAATGTATGTTCAAGAACTTCTTATTCTTTCACAGCCATACCAGTGACCATATATGTTTGTCATTACATGCAACAGCTCCTTCCTCTACAGCAAACACCACATTTTTTCTGGAACTATCTTTCCTTCATATTTTCTTTTCAAAAGAACAAAAAAACCCGTTACCTGCTTATTCTGTGTGTCAAAAAATACTTCAAGAATAAACCTGATTATTACAGAGCTATAAGACACTCTTTCTTCATCTCCTCTCCCATCTCCTCCACAAGGTTTATGTTGTACATAATACTGCCGTGATATATAGGATCATCAGGTTAGTTAACTAAAAGCAGTTTCACTGTGCCTATGATTGATCAACTGTGGGACTATTAAAACATTAAAAATGTTAATCTTTGTAATAATCTCCTAAAAATTTTTAATATTAATTTTAACCATGGATCATTTTAATATTTAATCATTGCAGACTTCACTTGGAATGAGGATAGCCATTCACTGAAAAGCACTTCATTTTTTATTTTGAAAAACGATCAGCTAGTATTTATTCTGTAAATCTCTTCACATATTTTCCTCAAGCAAAGTAAACCTGCAAGTAAATGAAAAAATCCACAACAGCAGAAAAACTTAAGGCAGAGTTTGGGTCAGAAAACATTGACTTTCACACTCCTGTTTCCCAGGAGTAACTGCATTACAAGAGTAGTACTGTATGAGAGTTGGAGGACTGGGGGAGACTTCTGCAAATGGAAATGACTGCCTTCTTTGTCTATATCTTACAATCATCTATGTTGCATTCTCATCACATATCTCATAACATGTAAACATAATAACTCACTTTTTCTTCACAAGTACTTAACGGAGTAACTCGGCTCCCCACAATGATATTAAACCAGTTTCGGCTTTTTAACAGACAACCCAATTTTGTAACATTAGCCCAACTCCTATCCTCTCCTATAATTCACAGCTTGCCTTGCTTAATGCAAATTTAGATTTAATATGGAAATATCCCAAAGGAAAAAAAACCAACAACTTCCTAGTCATGATAAAAATCTCACAGAAACTCTAAAGTTCTAACTGAAATTAACAGTGACTAGTCTTCATCGTATCAATTAGTTTTGAAAAGTATTTTAAATTATCTAACCAAAACTAATTCATGGTCTCAAGAAACAAATTTCACAGAAAAATGCAAGGACAGTATCTTTGCTGCACTGCAAAAACATAATCCAAAGATATAATCCATCTCTTGTCTTGTTTCCTACATAGGGTCTACTGAAACTGGCTGTTCTCTGGAGCTACTGCCATAAAGTACACTGAGCTTCAGATGCCTTTTAGACTAGGCTGCTATTTGGCTATTTCAGCTATTTGGCTGAAATATTTGATTTAAATATATCCTAAAGATACTCTGAGCAGTACCAGAGGTTAATATATTAGCTTACATGACTAAACTTCATTCTGTATTTTTGACCAATAGTGAGGCAGAATATTTTCAAACTGTCACACAAATCAGCTTCCTAATCTGAAGAGGCTGCAGAGTCTAACAGCAAGAACTATGAAGTCCAGAACAGGTGGAAGTGAGTGTAGCATTTTTCGGTGCATATAAATTTACTCTGCATAGTTCAAATTAATGGAAAAAACCCCACAGTTAACCAAGCAAAAACCAGTAAACTGCCTTTACTCCTGATTTTATGAATTATGTATCCCCTTGCATATTACCTTTCACTAAAGTATGTTCTTAAGGAACGACGTATGGAAAAATCATTGTCATTCAATGTGATGCAGTAACAAACTCTGGAACTCAGTTGCTTGTATCTGAAATGGAAGGCATAGTCCTGTTTATGTGACTTTAAAAGCCACACGTGTCTTTGTACAAAACTCAGTGTAAGATTTAAAGCTAAATAGATAAGGAATTTCACCATTGTTGAAAGGCATCTCTGCCTCAGTAATCTGATTTGAAGTAACCTTTCAAAACCTAGATGTATGAAGAGCTCCCACATTTGCACTGAAGAAGTATTTTCTGTATTGTTTTAGCAGATACAAAATACTATTTTAAGCACAATAAAAAGTTAGTTGAAGAACATTGTGGTAATCTCTTCATGACTACATAAATTAAATTCAAAGAATTCCCAAGATTGTTGATGGACCTTTTGAGATCATCTACTTGTGCCCACCTATTCCAGCTAGCAGACTGAAATAGATGAAGTAGACTTACAACTTTCCAACTTTCATAATGACAGAAAAGAAGTCCTAGAGGATAAACTGTATTATGAAAGACAATCATGTCAACAAAAAATGTGGCCAAAGTTTTCTTTAGGAAAGCAGACAAGTTATTTTCTGAACAATGGGCTGTCCCCAGCCCAATTTTGTACCGAAGAGTGAAGTGATTCAGCCAAGGATGATATGCCAAACTGCAGTACTTAAGAAACTATTCAATCTTCCCTGCATTTGTAGAATTTAGTGTATCTCTTAAACATAAGTTTATACAGTTTTCCACTATAGAAATGTATCTTTAATAGCAAGTACTCTTCCATTCTGATTAGCTCTTTGGGAATAAGTCTGGGCCCCAACAGGAAGGAACTCAAAACCTATGACATGCAATTGAATTACTGAGTGTGAAGGTGTGTGCTGCATATACAGCTCAATTACACCAGAAGCTCTTTCAGAGGGAGTCTCTGATACTACTGAGATCTGTCCATGTAACCATGTGTGGGCTGATGGAAGGTGGAGCAGCTTGAGAACCACACAAACAGCATGGCAGAGAATCCCCTGCCAACACTTCACATTTAGAAGTTTTTGCAGCTCACATATTCTCACACATTTCTGTCCAGTATTTTCTGAGCACAAGGCACGACCAGAGCACTCTGCAGAGAACACAAAGAAGTCCAATGTACCCGGAACACATCACGCCTGCAAGGCAAACATAGCCAGCTCAACACACAGATCAGATTTACTGCACACCCACAGCCGGCCGAACACAACCAGCAGCACCACACGGCCTGGTCTCACTGCACGTGGGGGGTCAGCACACACAGCACAGATTGTCAGCTCCAGACACCCTAAAACCCCACACAAGACAGAGTCGCACACACACCCCCAACCACACCACACGGGCCGGCAGCATGTAAGCGGTCGTGCCAACGAATGAAAACCGTGAGCACCAAGGAAAAGCCATGGCGGCATCACAAGCTTCGGCCAGTTCGGCCCAGCTGGAGTGCCCGGGCCTCGAACACAGCCCCGCCGAGGACACCTCGGTGAGGGGTTTGTTTCCCTCCAACTTGGTTGCCTAGTCAGAGTCGTACTTCATCAAGCACGGAAAAGCAGCCCTGGTAGTCGAGGGGTCCCGGTACGGTGAAACGAACACCAAACGCGACCACAGGTCAACACAGGACTGCAACCATTCCCGCCCCCGCCCAAAATGGCGGCAGCCCAGCCGACCCGCTCCCACCCCAGCCCCTCCAGCACGCGCTCCGGGGGCGGGGCCGCCCTGATTGACAGCGCGCCCGGCCAATCGCGGGGCCGCGCGCGTCCCACTGGCCAATGGCAGGGCGGGCCCGCGGCGGTCAGCGGGCAGGCCGCGCGCGCCGCCGGCGCGAGCGCTCCCCGGCCGCGGGCCAATGGCGGCGCGGCCGCGGCGCGGGCGGGGCGCGGGCCGGGGCAGCCCCTCGGGCCCGGCGGCCGCCCGCCCGGCCGGGACGCGGCGCGGTACCTCGGGCCGAGCGGCACAGCTCCGCCTCCTCCTCCCGCCGCGCCACTTCCTGTGCCAGCGGGGCTCCCGCTGCCTCCGGCCCGCGCGTCCCGCCTCCCGGCCCGCCCGCCGTGCCCGGCCCCGCGCCGCCTGCGCTGCCCGCTGCGTCCCGGCCGCCTGTCGCGCTCGAGTGTGTCGCAGGGTGTTCCGGGGAAGGTGCCGCGTCGCTCCGGACTTGCGGAGCCAAAAGCAGTTAGCCACTTTCACGCTGTAGAATCACAGGATGGTTTGGGCTGGAAGGGGTCGTAAAAGCTATCCCGTTGCAGCACCCCATCATGTTCACTCATCACAAGCCAAGTGGGAACTCACATTCAAAACCCTAAAAACAAAACACATGGAAATTATGAATTCCAGCAGGTAATTCTCTGGCTACTTTGAGATGGTGCTGAGCTTTCTGCAATAGACAATTATTTTGTGCAACAAGCAAGCCACTGACTCTCAGAACAGTCTCCTGATTAATAGTGAACGTGCATACCTTGTTTCTTGCAAAAATGGCACTTGACCAAGTGTAGCACTCCCTGTAAGGAAAGATACAAAAAAAAAAAAAAGATAAATATTTGCATTTTTTTGCCTTTGCAGCTTTGGAAGTGAAAGTCATACCCATCTGAACTTTCCCATCTTTCTAGATGACATGCAGGGGGAGTGGAGAATGAGCCTGCAGAAGAGTTGATTACTCAGAGTTTGTGTCTGGCATGCTTACCAAACCACAGTTCTCTGCAGCTATTTCTCTAGCAAGATTAATAGATCTTTACATGACACGGCTTTCTTATAAGGATAGCATGTCTTGATTTTTAGTCATGAGACAAAAGACTTTTTTTGTACCCTTTTCTTTTGTCAAGATGTCTCACACTAAGGGTATTTAGCTGCTTTGAATGTGGCAGGTCACTGGACACAACCTTACATTTTCTTCTTAAGAAATCTTGTGCCCCTCTGGGACTGGAGATGCCACAACCACTGTGGGCATCTTCTCTGATTTTTCTAACTTCTGTGTTCAGAATTTTCAACAAAAATTTTATTTCATCCATACTCCTAATAGTAGGGCAGAAACCATATATGTGTAAAGTATTTTAATAATTAATTTTGATTCCTTGATTATTTTAATATGGTTCACTTAAATTCAAGTAATGATTATGTTCATGGATGTTTGGATATAGTATTATGTAAAAAAAAAAAAACAGCAATCATATTTAAACAGACATTACATGTGATTTTTGACTGTAGAATTACAACCAAAAAAATCCCATGAAAAAATACCAGGATCAGTGTTCTTAGCTACATTATTTTGTATTATCTGAACCACTGCTGAGGACTTTGTCTGTGTGAGTCCTAGTAGCAAAATACATGTGGTTCTAGTTCAGTTTCACCTAATTTGACCTAATCACAATATTCATTTCACTACTCAGTTGTTCTTCTAAGTAATAAACCAATGTATGCCCAGCAGCCTCAATACTTAATCTGTAAAGAAGCCATAAGGAATTATGACTTTGCGAAAAGAACTCTATGTACACTGTGATGTTTTCACCATTTTAGTTTCACTCTTTCATGTCTTCATTTTTAATCCTCATTTTATGGGAAATGTTTCCTACTGCAGTTTTCTTCTGCAAGAAGGGATTCACACTGGTCAGAATGAAACGGTCAGAAGGGCAGCTGACTTTTAGACAAGTGCTGCTGATAAGATTGCTGTGTTTTGTGGGATTAGAAGCAGCCTGGGTGGAGTATATGTGTCCTAGGATATTTTTAATCTGTTTTTTACAGGTAGTAATAGAAGTACCATTACTATTATGTGACTGTAACTGAAATGTATGTCAATCAGTGAGGGATTTTTGTTGATTTTGTCACACCCATCAGTTCACTGTCATATCCCTGGATGAGATTAGTGTAAAATTCTAAACGTATTTTAAAATTACATAGTTTTATCTCACAATTTTCTTAAGGAAATCTATCAGCCATTGTTTTCAATGACTGTCTTTCCTGGATTTCCTCCTGTTTTCATTCTTTCACAAGATCTTCAGCTTCATCTGACAACTGGACAAGAGTCTGTCCCTTTTTGTTCTCATATGCAATGATTTTATGATTTGTGAAACATTTTTTTTAATGGAAGTGTAGTTAAGCCCATTGAAAATAGGTTTTCTTTTTATTTAACTTTTCAAAGCTCCAAGAAGCCGTTCCTGAGCTTTTAGAGTTTAGTTAGTTTAGGTAAAAGGTTGGGAAATGATGCTTAACATCTTTTTTCCAAGGGGACAACACAGATTAAATTAACATACAGAAAACTATCTCCCTGAAGTGCAACAACTTGTCTACTGTCTAACCTGATGTCTCCTAACGTGTGTCTAAATACTAAGTTCAAAGATGTGAAACAATGTTCTTAATTATTTTTGTTAATTAATTTTGCTATCACCAAGTAACAGTTTTTTCATCTCTTCTCCTAAACTGTCATCAATATCGCCAATAAAAGAGCTATTTGATTTAGGCTACTATTCAGGCTAACATTGAAACTTTCAGGTAATACCTTACTTCAGAACTTCTAAAAGGTACAGTATTCCCCATCTAACCACAAAGCTAAAACTCTCTTCATGCTCCTGTCACTTGCTAACAATGTAATTTCTGGTGGCTTTGACAGATACAGTCTTGTTCTTCTCATATCCAACCAGAATTGCTACTGAAAGACATAATCACTTTAGCTCATCCCATTATCCATGTTATTCCTCACTTTGCATCTCTCCACTGTCTCCCTATTCTGGCTCTGTACATACTATGCCTTCATTTTCAAATCCTTTCTTCCTATCCCGTCTTCTTTTCATATCGGTTGTATATGTCATTTCTTGCCTCTGCCTAATAAAGAATTCTGATTCTGTTACTTTTTTTTTTTTTTTTAATTAACAAGCCTTGTTTTGCTTTCCCCACGTGTCACTGTTTCTTTCAAATCCATCCAAAAGAGAGCTACTGTAACTTCATGCTGTTGGTATGCTGTGCCTACTCCTATCACGCTTGACACCACTCTCCCTAAAATCAGGCATTCCTAAAATCCCAGTATTGTCTGCAGCATAGCCCCAGACAACTGTCTTTACCCATGCTTCCTGCAGGGATAGGAGGGTTGTGGAGCCCATCCTCTCTCCTTCCAGCCTTCCAGCTGAAAAATCTCAACGTGATGTCAGTCATGATAGATGGTGCATTTTGTGACACAGACAGCCTGCCATTAGGACAAACCCATTTCACTGAACCGTCTGATGGTAATGACTGTCAGTGACAGACTGACCTAGGCTGGCCCAAGTCAGCGTGCTGGAGGTGAAAGGCTTCATATTCCATTACCAGGACTCTGAGCCATCAAGTCTGCTCCATCCCACCCCTGCTTAAGCTGTATTGATAGACTGGGTAGCATTTTCCCAAATGCCGTCATCCATACAGATGTCTGCCGTTGTTTTGTTGATGTGGTCAATCAATACTACATTAAATGTTACCGTCAGTTTACCCTTAGTTGTCTAAAGTAGATGTGATATTTTCATTATTTATACAACTGTGCCATTAAATTATGCATTCCAGATCAAAATAATAAAAGACTTGTTCATACTACTACTACTACTACTACTACTACTACTATTATTATTATTAATATTAATATTAATATTAATATTAATATTAATATTAATATTATTGCTCTGGCATAAACTTTTGGATTTCTGTGTAAAGAAATTAATCTCCTATCAGAGGGGGAAATGGGGACTGACAAGCTCTAGCTCCTGTTGCCTCTGGGATGTAATTATGCTTGCAAATACAAAACCAGAAAAAATCATAAGCTTAACACAGTAGACACTCTTGAAAGTTGCATCTCAGCATGAAGCTATGTTTTAATTATTATTTTTGTCTGCATTGTTCAGATCGACAGTGCACCAACTAGAGTAAGTGCTTATCCTAGTTAATTCTTCATGAGACTTATGTCACTGGAAGATGCATTTAATTTATTTCCTTTTGCTTTCTTTAAGATGGCACAGACTAAGTGGTTATCTATAAACATTCCACAAAGATTTTACTACTTTAGAGCCAGATCCAAAGGCTGTTGAGTCAATAGGAAGCATCAAAAGTCTTTGGAACAGGCCTTATTACAAGACAGAAGTAAGCTGTTTTTTGTTTGGGGACCTTGAAGAATAAAAAAGGAAAAACTTCTTATTTATATTCTATAATATTAACAGATCTCTCTTATATGGTAAATATTTTCCATTATTAAGAAGCAAATTTGGACTCTAAGACATCCCCACTTTCCTATTAAAAAAAAATTGTATGCATATATACTCTATATATGTATATATATATATATATATATCCCCACATATGTATGTTTTGATTCCAACTGATGATTGATATCATTATAATAAAATACTTTTCTGCTGCAATTTCTGCTTGCAAATATTATTCTATGTAACATATAGAATTACCAACATAACACATTATAATGCATTGTTATACCTGAACAACTGTCATCTTCATTGTGGAAGAAGATTTTCTTATTTGCTGATTTAATTAGGTAATTACAATTATGTATTTTATATTGGGGGAAATAGCATGTTTTGAAAGTTACTCTGACACTAGTTTAAAAATAGTTAACTTGCTAAGTATCAGCATAATCTGTATCTATTAGAGGATCAAATAAAAAGCTCAGCTTCCAAGAATGAATATGCATTTTACAATGCCAGAATTAACTTCAGAAATGCACTGCCTCCAAATACTAGTGTCTTCATCTAGGAAATAAAAACCTATATACAATTTTATAAATTATTTGTAATATATTTTGAGATCCATTCTCTCCAAAGTGCATGGTAGTCCCAAATTGTTAGGCTTATACAGTTAAGGCTACTTGGAAATATTTCTTCTCACTTAATGTTTGTTTAATATGGACAGTGTTAAACTTTTATATAATTAATTTCAGAGAAAACTTAGTTTGTCACAGACAGCAGTATAATGGTGTCTGCATTCTCCAGAGTCATAGTTTACTTAGAAGTGAATGTTCTTCTGTCTTTATCTATCAGAGAAGTCTTCAGCATCTTTTCAC